TGGACGGGCGGCCTACACAGCACACACGTGTCCGTACAGTGCTGGAGGCTGGTGTGAGCACAGGTGTCTTCGGAGGCCTTCTAGACTCCGTCCTCTCTGTGTGGCTGCATCCTCCTCGCCTCTCTGAGGTGGACACCAGTCACTTAGGGCCCAACCATGTGGCCTCATTTTACCATAATTACCCCCTTAAAGAACCCATATCAGGGGCCAGCACTGCGGTGAAGCGGGTAAAGCCGCCACCTGCAGTGCCGGCGTCCCATATGGGCACCGGTTCTAGTCCCAGCTGCTCTACTTCTGCTCCAGCTCTCTGCTAGGGCCTGGGAAAGCAGAAGGTGGCCCAAGGGCTTAGGCCCCTGCACCCACGTGGGAGACCCGGAAGAAGCTCCTGGCTCCTGGGGCAGCTCCAGCTGTTGTGGCCATTGGAGAGTGAACCAGCAGATGGAAGACCTCTTTCTTCCTTTCTCTCTCCGCCTCTGCCTCTGCCTCTCTGTTACTCTGCCTTTCAAATAAATAAATCTTTAAAAAACAAACAAAAAAAAGAACCCATATCAGACTACAGTCAGTCACAGCCGGAGGTGCTGGGAGTGAGGATTTCAGCACGAAGTGTGTGTGTGTGTGTGTGAGAGAGAGAGAGAGAGAGAGAGAGATGATTCAGCCCGGCGCAGGAAGGAAGCGTGAGGACAAAGCCGGAGCAGGCGGGAAGGAAGTCACTCAGGGCAGGCGGGGGCACTGAGCGTGCGGACTCCACACCCAGCAGGTGCAACCCGAGCTGGCGATGACCCACTTTTCCCAGATTCACTTCTTTTCCTGTGTTTTCTGGTCGGGGAAGACCCTCATCGTGGCTCGCAGTCACAAAGCCAGGAACGTGGCCTCGCCTTTGTCTGTCTCCTCCAGCTCAGCTCCGTGCTCTGGGAGGCTGGGACGAGCCCAGCGAGTCTCTCTTCACAACTCCTTTGTCTCCACTCAGAATCACCCACCTGCATTCCTCTAACGGTCTCCTAATTACCTCCCTTCTGTCCTGGCTTCTGCCTCTTCTCCCTGTTCAAATCTGCCCTCTGAATTGCTCACGGAATAATTTTTATTTGAAAACAAATCTGGTCAAGTCACGTTCAGATTTCTTCAGTTTTCTTTACAAAATTGCTTTAAGGGTAGCGTTCACAGTGTTTAACTGAAGCGTACAGTGTGACCCTTTGTTTAGTCTGATTGGTTTAGCTCAGGTCGCCTGCCCATCCCTGGCCCATTATCAAAGCCAACAGTTCAAAACACCGATTGGCCACAGTGTGCAATAATCGGCCTCTACTCCTCGGAGCCACCTGATTGGTAAATAATCAGGCCTACTTCTCAGTCGCCCTTGCTGGGTCTTGCTGGCCCTCAGGGCTGAGCCCAGAGGGGACCAGATTGAAATTCGGGTTTAGGAAAGAGGAAGAAAGGGCAAACGCTATTAGATGGGCGCTGTCTACAGCAGGCTGTCCCTCCTTGGGGCTTATAATCCAGTGTTGGATAGGAAAAGGAAATCAGAATTCGGTCCAGCGTGACAAGGACAGTGCAGAGTTGTGCACAGTGCTTCTTCCTTATCAGATCAGGGGTTCAGAGAGATTCCTAAAGGAGGTGCTGCCCCGGCTGGCGTGTGCGGGAGGAGGGAGCCCGTGGAAGAGAGGCGCTGCCCCGGCTGGCGTGTGCGGGAGAGGCGCTGCCCCGGCTGGCGTGTGCGGGAGGAGGGAGCCCGTGGAAGAGAGGCGCTGCCCCGGCTGGCGTGTGCGGGAGAGGCGCTGCCCCGGCTGGCGTGTGCGGGAGGAGGGAGCCCCTGGAAGAAGGGAGAACACGAGTGGAAAGGCTCACGCGGGAGGGGGCGGTGAGACCGCACGCGGTTCCGGGGACGAGGCCAGCAGATGTGGGGAGGATATCGAAGCATCAGCCAGCTGTACTCGGGAGGGCTCCACGGTCCCCGTTGCTCCTGTGTAGGTAGCACGGGCGCCCTGCCTAACGGGCCACCCATCTTTGTCTAACGCACTACGGCACAACCCCGGGGAGATGGAGAGACCGAGGTTGAACGGATGACTGACTGACCAGCTTCACACGGCGCTGGCTCTCACCACTTTTCTTTCTTTCTTTTTTAAGATTTATTTGTTTATTTGAGAGTAGAGTTACAAAAAAAGAGAGGGAGAGAAAGAGAGAGAGCGAGGGGTCTTCCATCCGCTGGTTCACTCCCCAAATGACCGAAATGGCCAGAGCTGAGCCAATCAGAAGCCTGGAGCCAGGAGCTTCTTCTGGGTCTCCCACAAGGGTACAGGGGCCCAGGGACTTGGGCGGTCTTCTGCTATCCCAGGCCATAGCAGAGAGCTGGATTGGATAGGAGCAGCTAGGACTCGAACTGGTGCCCACATGGGATTCCGGCACTGCAGGCAGACAAGCCACAGCGCCAGCCCCTCTAACCGCTTTTCTACGTGGCCTTCTCCTGGCCCTCAAACCCATGGACCTTGTCACTCCAAGCCACGGCATGGACAGAACCAGAGTTGCAGGAATGGGTGAGGTGTACCCGGCTGTAGAAAGGTGCATTTGAAAAGGAAACATCTAAGCGAGAAGCAAAACCGTGTATCTAAATGCATCCTCTCCGTGCGACCCCATTCCCCAGTGGGCTGCGTGGTGTGGTGGCCAGAGACGGAACACAGGGTCAGGGGTTGGCCCACGACTCCTTCTCCCAGCCCCCAACGTCACCTACTGTCAGGTTCTTGGCTCACGGTCTGCCAGAAGCACCCCCACGCTGCTTCTGCAGTCGGCTGACTCTGGCCCCTCACAGGTTCAGTGTAGGCGACACCCCCAGGGGAGCCTTCCTGTACACGCCAGGGCTGGGTTAGGAAGTAGCCTGGGCTGCCCTGGGGCGACTCCGCCCTGGTCCTCATCCCTCCATTCCCTCAGACTGTAGGCCTCCAGGACTGGAACTTCTCTTCCCTGTCCTAGGAAAGCCTTGATCCCTCTCAGGCCCCCGCCCCCTTCACACAGTCCACCTGGACCCAAGGGAGGCCTCTTTCCACCCCAAGGCTGGGATCTGTGTATCGAAGCCCCGAGGGAACGTGGCCGCATGTGGACACACAAAAAGTTCATGGAAAATGTGTTTTATACAAATGCTATGCTAGGGTTTCAGCTTTATTCTTTTCCTGTACAATTTTCCAGGAACATTTTTTTTTTTTTTGGACAGGCAGAGTGGACAGTGAGAGAGACAGAGAGAAAGGTCTTCCTTTTGCCATTGGTTCACCCTCCAATGGCCCCCGAGGCCAGCGCACCGCACTGATCCGAAGCCAAAAGCCAGGTGCTTCTCCTGGTCTCCCATGGGTTGCAGGGCCCAAGCACTTGGGCCAACCTCCACTGCACTCCCTGGCCACAGCAGAGAGCTGGCCTGGAAGAGGGGCAACCGGGACAGAATCTGGCGCCCCGACCGGGACTAGAACCTGGTGTGCTGGCGCTGCAAGGAGAGGATTAGCCTAGTGAGCTGCGGCGCCGGCCTCCAGGAACATTTTAAAGCCCCTTGTATTTGGTTGTCACAACCAGCATCCGGAGGGGAGAGACCACAGATTCCACTGAACATGGCGTCAGGCCCAGGACAGCCTCCTCCCGCATCCCACAGGGTCACGTGGCCGCAATGTCAGTGTCACCAGAGGGTCCAGACGTCCCCACGGGGCTCTGCTGCCTGACTGTACTGCTCTAGGGACGGGGGGGGGGGGGCAGTGGCCTTCTCCCACGGTGGGGCAGGGACACTGTGACTGAAGGCATTTGGGGGAGCGGGTCTCCTGCCCAGCCTGCGGGGCGGTCAGGAGGACGGCCACACAGCTGCAGGCGCAGCTCCGCGGGAGCTGACCCGCTGGCGTGAATCCCCTTACGTCTGCCTGCTTGGTGGGGACCCCACACCCGGAGGGCCTCCGACTGTTTCTTGGGTAGCTGGATCGTAACCGGTCTCTGGAATACAACAGACGAATAGGCTGCGGTGCTGGCCCGGCCTGATTTCTTAGGAAACTCTGTTATCTGGATGTCTGTGGTTATAAGGGAGGGAGTGTAGACGTTAATAAATCCACAGTTTCCCTGTGTTTGGAGAGAACAGCTTAGGCAAGTTTTGCATCAACACCAAAGTCTGCAGAACCAGCTTTGGAACAAGCAGGTGCATCTTCCGGGGCCGTGGATGGGCTGGAGCCCGCGGGCTTTTCTTCTGCAGCCCGAGCCCATGCCGGCCATCACAGGCCCCAACGCCCGGGCGCCCTGGAGCTGCAGCTGGGGCTTCCGGTGTGTGCCTTCCCCTGGCGCCCGCTGCTCTGGCCAGTGAGCACCGGGTCCCAGGGCAGCGGGAGGCAGGCTTCTCCCTTTGTCCTTAGCTGCGGCTCCCAGTCTAGTTTTCCGCAGGACAATGGCTGTGGTGTTCTAGACTCATCCAGAGGTGCCACACCTGTACAGCCCAGTAGGTAACTGGTGGTACCCAGTGGCCTTGGCGCTCTGAGAGGCGGCCACAGGCGTGGCAGGAAATCAGTGTGCTCCCTTGCACTTGGGAGTGTGCAGTGCGTCTCTTGAAGGTGCACTGTTTCTGCACCCGACGCACAGGGGGGCAGGGGCTCCTCCAGGGAGGCCAGGGTCAGGACCTACCTCTGCTTCTGCACCTTTCTGCGCCAGGAAACGGCCTTCCAGCCCCAAAAAAGCACTTTGTCAGAGTTGCAAAACCGCGAGCTGTCATTCCTGCGAAAAAAAGATGGATTTTTAAGTAAGAAGGGCAAGTTTTTGTTGTGTTTTTCCTTTTTAAATCAGAAATGCCCAAGCACTTTTTTTCTTTCTTTTTTTTTCCCCTCCAGCAATCCCTGATTTAAAAACAAATAGGGTTTCCGAGGGCAGGGGGCGGGGAACGGGAGGGCGGAGGCGGGAGCGCGCGTCCCCGCGCCTCGTGCTCGTGCGCGCGGGCCCGCGACCTCCGGGCCGGGCTCCCCGCGGGCGCCGGGGGAGGGGGGCGCGCGTGGCCCGTGCGGGCGGGCCCGGCGCGGAGAGGGCCGAGGCCGCCGGGGGGGCGCGTTGCCTCAGACGGCCCCGGGCGCGGGGCGGTGACCGGGCGCGGGCCGCGCCGCGCCGCCCCGTGTGTGTGGGAGCGGCCGCACGTCGGGGCGGGGAGCCGGGCGCCGACTCAGCAGTGTGGGCCGCGCGCTGGCGCCGCGCCCGCCCGCCCGGCAGAATGAGCTCATTGTGCGCCGGCCGCGGGACCCGGCGGCTGAGGCGGCGCGGCGCGGGCGCGAGCGGGCTTTGTCCGTAAGTACCGGCGCGCGGCCCCTCGCGCGGCCGCCCCGCGGGGTCCGCGCCGCCGCCCGGGACGCCCGGGACGCGCGGGCGCGGGGGGCGCGGGTGGGGGTCCCCGCGCCGCCTCGCGCCCCGGGCGGGCTCCGCACTTGGCGGCGCGCGTTCTCTCGGCGAGCGGCCGCGCGGGGCTGTGGGAGCGGCGTGCGGGAGGCGCGAGGCGCGGGCTGCCCGGATCCGCTCCCACGGCCACGCTGCGGGAGCACGCGCGGAGGCCGGGGATCCCCCTTTCCAGAACTTGCGGCTTCTCTCCGGTTCTGCCCGATTCCTGACGGAACTCAGGTGAACAAAAGAGCTTTGTGGAGCGCGTGCAGGTGCAGGGTCCCCGCCGCCGGCTTGGCCTAGGGCGAAGGGGACAATGGTGTGTGTGTGCCTGACTCCCCGCCCCCACCCCCGTGGGTTTTTTATTTTATTTTATTTTATTTTTTTAAACACGGAAGGTTATGTAATGCAGTGCCATTTCCAAAAATACCCGCTCCGAGGCACCGCACTAGCCGGCGGAGAGCCGTCTGCGCGGCAGAGAGACTGCCAGTAGTGTGTCTGCGAACAAAGGACAGCCAGAAAGCAGCCTATTTTTATCCCTGGCTTCTACTTTTAAGTTGCTAAACCTCTTGAACTCGTGCAATTTAAAGAGGAACTAGACGCTGAGAGCAGCCCGGGACTCTGCAGCACCGGACCTGGGGATTCCTTTGTCCTGGTGCAAACCCTTAGGCCGCCGTGGAGGCGCCTGCAGGAGCCCCCGTGGCCCACGGAGGTCGTTTGCGTGTCACTCACCTGGGCCACAGAACACAGTCGTTTGCGGGAGCGGGTAAAGGGTTGAGCTGGCCCGCTGACCTGTGGCCGGGCGCCGTGTCCACCTATCGAAACCTATTTTGCAGGTCGGTCTCCTGGGACTGAAGAGAGGGCGAGCACGGGCCCAGGACCGTTAGGATTGTCAAAATGGTAAGAAGTCGTCGGAGGACATTCCCGGTAGCTTCTCGTCCCACACGTCCCAGCCACGCGCCTGGACCCTCTAGCGCACCCACCCCACCTGACCTCTGCAGGGCTCCCCGCAGTCTCCTGCAGCTTACGCCCATTGGCTGTGGGCAGTCGGGCTTTGACTTGGAAACTAAAATTCCTCTTTCAGAAGCAAAGATTGAACAAGAGAAACTGGTCTGTTCTGGAAGAAGAGTGACGTGTGATGACACGCACGGAGGGGGTGATGGCAGCGGGGCTGGGGCAGGGCAGTGGGTCTCGTGCCGGGGTGCCGGGGTGGAGGGAGGGGCCCCAGGGGCGGCCACAGCCTGTGCTGTCCTTAAGACAGGGCGTCTCCAGGAAGCCTGCAGACACAGGGAGTGGGGCTTTGTTGCTGATCCCTGACTTCCTTTAGGAGAGACCCCAAGTGTGCTGTTCCTGACAGACTGTGACCCATGGGGAAGGCAGCAGAGATTGATGACCAGGGAAAGGAATACCTCTTTGCCACTCAGAGCGCACGATTGCCACATTCAATTTTAGTGTTTTTTTCTTTCTTTTAGGTGAGGGTGGAATTTAATGAATCAAAATTGAATCTGAGATACTTGATGTTTTCTTTTAGAGCAGCCCAGGTACAAGCTTGCAAGGAGAAAAATGAATCAGAGGCAAGGAAATGAGTTCAGTTTGACTTTTGTTAACACGTAAGCGTGGAAGGTCTTTGTGCACGCCTCCCTCTGTCATTTCAACAAGTGGGTGTGGAAGCAGTAAATAAAGTAATTTCACTTGGACATAGTTGGCTAACGACCAAATTAAGGAACTTGAGGTAGAAAGACAAGAGGCCCACATAAAACTGATCAGTGGGTTATGTGCACATGGCCCCTAACTTCATACAAAATCCACAACCAGCGGTTGTCATAGAGTCATGGGTTGGTGGAAAACGGTCTGCTGTGTTTTTGTTTAGTTAATTAGATTTTGTCAGGACTGGCCACATTGCCTTGTGTCCTGGCTCTTCAGCCTAGAACCTTACCCATGCTGTTTGATCATAGGTGGACCATGCATATTGGGCCAGGTCTGGTGGCCGCTTTGTATAAACCTAAACGTGACCAGTGATCCCGCCCAAAGATCGCGCTCCGAGGGAGACGCGTTTCTGTAGTAGCGAGTGGAGGGAGGTCTGTGGAAGGCGGAATGCGTGCCAGAGCTGAGAATGAAACTTGGAACCATTTGAATGCAGAATAGCAAATGCAAATTAATATTCCATGCTCCTGTCTTACAGTTGTCACTTATGGAAAGTGGCAGAATGGGAAGTCACAATTTGTTGCAATTGGAAGGAATTTTGCTCATGGACGAGTGCTCCCGACTGTTGGTGACCTTCTCATCAGGATGTCAGTCCCTGTGGCGCAAGCCCACGCGTGGCCCGAGAGGAAAGCAGTGGCGTCCTTGTGGGGGATTCCAAGTCGCTTTCTAGCAGTTCTGCAAAGTCAGCTCTAAATGTCTCTGCGCAAATTAATGTTTTAAAAAGTGTCAATTGCGGTTTTTTCCAAGAACTGGCGTTAGAGGTGTCTCCCACCTCTTTCTCCTCTTGGGCAGGATTAATTCTCTCTACTTGATGGAAACTGGGCTTGCTTTGCAGAGCCCCGCGGTGGGCTTAGACATGGCCTGTGGACAACAGAAATGGTGGCTGTGAAAGCCGTAGACTAACTCTGGGCCACGTTTAGATGCCTAAGTGTGGTTTTTCTGTAAAGTAGTGTTTCCATTTACCTAATTTAAAACACTAAAGAAGATCAAATTTCGGCATTGGGCTTGCTCTTTCGACACCCACGGTTGTCATCAGTTCGCGGCGGTGTGAGACGTGGGACAGGACACCGCAGGACTAAAGCAGGGGCTCGGAGACCTTTCCGCTCCCCAGTAGCTGCGTTCCACAGCAGTGCTTGGGAGACGCGCGAGAGTCTCCAAGTGCCCTCTGCGTCATCAGATCACGCACAGCCAGCTGAGCCACCGCCATGGTGCGTGCGCCTGGAGCTCAGCCCAGGGGACGGCCAGGCACGGATGCCAGGGTGCTGCTGAGGGCGCCGATTTGGGGCACGCTGTGCTGCACCTTAGTTGATGAGAGAATCTCAGTCGCTCTCGCCGCAGTGATTTCCAGTTTTCCAGTGAGCGTGCTTCTCTCAGCTTGTTGGGCAGTTAGTTAGGACATCCGGAATCTGCAGAGCTCTTCAGTGTTGCTTTCTGTTGAACTTTCTCACTGAATTTTAATTTCTAGGACTGTATCGCACATGGGTCCTCGGTACTGAGTTAGGTATTTATCGTAAGGTACTTGCCTCGGATTCGTCAGTGGGAAGGAAACATTTCGCGACGAGTAGCTGATCCTTTGGGAAGATAAGGCGTTTAACCTCGTACCCAGGTCAAGCACGGTCTGACACGGCCGCCCCAGCACAGCCGAGTACCCTGGGTCCCCGTGGTGTGGCGAGGAGCCGGTCCATTTTCACGAGACCAGGAGAGGCCGCAGCTGAAGTTCTCTCTAAAGCTGCCGCTGAGCTTTTGGTAACGATGAGTTGCCTGCGTTGTGCCGTTCACAGAGCTCTGCTCTCTGTGCAGGCTGGGAAGTGGCGCTCACGGGCCTACAAGGAGGCTCTTAGCCAGCGCCGTCGGCAGAAGGTGTCCGTGGTTGAAGCAGAAGCAGAGAGCGGGGAGGGACGAGGTCGAGTGGTAGCTTGTGCTGCTGGGGACTCCTGGCTGTGGAGGTGCTGACAAGTCCCTGGGGGTGGTTTTGTGTGCGCTGTCTTCCCTCTCCCCAGGCCTTCCCGTGCCGGGAAGGGGAGAGATGGGAATTGTTTGGGGCTTGGGGCGCTCTGTCTGGGTGTGACAGCAGTCCGGCTTCCCCGCACACTCTGGAGGTAGTTGAGGCAGAAGGACGAGTAAGCAGCTGTTCTTTTCTGGTCTGACGCAGTTCTGTGCAAACGTGGATGCGAATCAGATCCTCACACATACAACTGCACAAGTTCAGCTTGGCTTTACATCCCAGATTGAGACTCTCAGAAACAGGAACGCGTATTTTAAACAGGGAGTACTTGGCGACACTGCGTGAGTAATCCCCAGGCTAGGGATGTTTGGCGTCTGCGTGTCCATCTGCTGGTGACCCGGAGCCCTGGAGTGCTGTCCAGACACCTGGGCCCACAGAGGAGCCTCCTTGGCCCTGCGCTTTCTCCTCACTGCCTTGCCTGGAGGGAAGGTCTTTTGAGGCCTAAGTGAAATGGAGGGTTGCAATAGTTATCTGAATAATTTGCTTCTAAAAAACTCAATTTCCTCTGATTCATTTCGGTAATCTACAGCGTTGCTGTGGTGATGTGGGAGCGGAGGATTTGCCGAATTACTTGACTAATTCCTGTGCTGTGCATGCAGGGCCAGGGGTCAGGAAGTGTTGCCAGAGGAAAGTGCATCGGACGCACCGGGGCCGTGTCGTCTTGGCTGATGGAGATCGATTACGAGATTCCCGTTTTAAACTGTTCCTCTGCTTTGAACTGGAAAACAGGTTAATCATACATCTCAGCCCACATCTGTAGAAATTACGATCACTAAAAATACCATGGACTGGGTCTAAATTTGTCTGAAATGGGTGTCTCTAGACATATTTTGCACCTAACCAGGGTGTCAAAGATATTTCCCCTTGGCGGCTTAGCAAACAGCGTGAACCTGTCGCTCATCTGCCAGCTCAGGCAGGTGTTGGCAGCCCTGGAGCTGTGGACTGGAGCCTCACGTGGCCCTCGGCGTGGCCCTCAGCTAATTTGCACGCACCTGGTCAGTTATCAGTGGCAGTGGGTTGATGATGACCTGTTGGCTGTATTTGTGAGTTGGACCACAAGCCTTTCTTTTCTCCTAACCGAATCAGAGGCTCACAGTCTGTAAGCTTCCCAAGTGGTGCTTGTTAGAGTGCGCAGTGCATGCTGTCAGCCCGGTAGGTACTTGGTCCATGCGCGAGTCATGCTAAGAACTTGGTGCTGCTCACTTTCTGTGAACGGAAAGTAGCCTGTATCCAGAACCTCTTCCTCGAACGGCCCGGGAAGCAGACGTGAATGCAATTTTAGTTTACCTAGAAAATTGCTCTCCATTATTTATTAAAAAGATAAAAACGTCTGTGGCGTGCAGTTGCCCGCCTTCCACAGCGTCCAGAGCCACGAGGCAGGTGCTGTCTGTCGGGGTCCCTTGGAGGCACGAGTGAGCTGCCGCCTGTCGGATGCGGCCCGCAGTGGTGCTCAGAGTCAAGGTAGCCTTGCCTGCAGCCGCGAGGTTTGCCCACGGGGCGGAGCCTTCGAGCCCTCCGTTGTTTCTGACAGAACCTGATCCGTGGCCCCAGGAACAGAACGAGGCCTGGAAACGGCCGAGAATGGTCAGAGCTAGCGGTGGGTCTGCAGCACCTCCGGTCCTGCCCGTTGAGCGCCGCTGGGTGCTGTGTTTGTGCCTGGTGTTTGCAGAAGCTGCACCGGGCCCCCACCCGCAGCAGACCTCCATTCTGGTCGTGGAAGGAAGGTGAACCTGTGACAAACCCGGCACGCGGTACGGTTTGGCGCTCCACAGCGAGATACGCAGGAGTGAGGCGGGGGCCGGGGCAGGATGGGAACCATTTATGAAGGGGGTGGAAATCGAGCTGCAACCAGAGATGGCAGATGGGTAACTCCTCCCTGTGACAGACGCGGTGGATCAACGTTGGCACTCATTCCGAGTGTTTTTCAGCCTGAAATGGATTTCAGAGTCCTCGGAGTGTTCCCAGGAAGCCATTACCAACTGCTCGGAGTCGGCACAAAAGTTAGCAACTGAGTGGACACCACTCCTGAGCAGGTGCTGCGCCCTGTGACGCGTTCGTCCCTGGGGCCCAGCACCAGGCCTTCTCCGATGCCAGCCGAGCGGCGGGTCACACAGCTTTGGGCAATGAGGTGACGGAGGAGCACTGCAGATGGAGGAGGACGCTGGGACGTTGTGCTTGGGAGTGAGCGACA